TTGTTCAGCAGCAATACAAGGAAAAGTAACCTGCTTTGAAGGGAAAAAAAAAAGGTGCCACAGTAGTTTGCTAAACATTTTTAAAAATGGGAGAGAAGCAAGGTGGGTGATGTGTACTGCTTGTTGAATGATCTGTTTGCATAAAGAGTTGTCTCATACAGAAAATTCTTAATAAGGGATCTTATTTCATTCTAGGTCACGTTATGATGAAAAACATTATGGAAAGAGTTCTTATGAATGGAAATAGTGCTAATTCAGAGGTATGTTTTAGGTATTTTGGAGCAAGTTTGGGGTTTTCTTTGTAGCTGCCATTACATTTTTTTTAAAAGACAACTTTGTTCAGAGTAAATCTAAAACAACTATTCTAGTCAAACAGCAGTTTGACTCCTAAGCAATTCAAAATACCAGACATTATGTAGGGGAAAACCTAAAATCACTATCAACAGCATGATAATATATTGGGCTTCATGTATTATTCTTATGGAATTTAAGGTGTAACATGTACTAAAACCAGGATACACATTTAATGAAATGAAAAATGGAAATGTGTGTGTGTACTTGGGCATTCCCATAGAACGTTAAGTAAATATCGCTGCTGTACTGCTGAAGGGATTTCTACTATGTGTCTTTCTTGTTAATTGGTAATAATAACTTTGCATTAAAAGGTAAAGGAAGCCACAATCTAAAATTTAAAACTTAAGTTATTTTTAAACTTACTTCTTGTCACTAATTTACATAATTAAAATTTTTTTTGAAGTTACTCAAGACTATGCTTTCCAGTGCAAACCATCTAAGAAGGTAGAGTTCAGTTGAAGTACAGTACCCCTTTCCATCTTTATCTAATCATCCACCAAGAATTCACTGCTAATTGATGCCTTTAAATTTGATGGGCAACTTAAATGAAACAATGTTGTACTATTTTAGCAGCACTGTGTATAGTGAATTGTAACTGTAGATAGGACTGAGTGTAATAGGTGGTGAAAGTTTGGGTAGTTTCTGACAGAGACTGAATAGCTTAAAGGAAAAAGCCCTAGAAAGTGTCTATTAAATAAGCTGTTTTCAAAGCACTGTCTTGAAATTTATCTGGTTTTATACTTAGATGCTGTACAACAACAGCAGCAGGCACCTAGACAAGAAACAGGGTACTGGCCTTGTTGAACTTTAGGTTTAACCTGGTAAAGCTACCCTTTTGTGTGTCTAGTGAAACAAAGTGAAGATACTTTTCCTCTTAGAGGTTTACGGTTTAATTTTACTCTTTGTCTGTTTTTTAGTTTAAAATGAACAATTCACTTATCTCAGGAGCTAGATACCACTGTAGACCCAGAAAAACTTATACAATGATTATTTGAGTCCAGAGTTTAAAAAAAGAAGAGTTTTTCTTGCAATGATAAATTTGGATTAAACTTGGTTAGTTAGGGCACAGTAATGGCATTTTAATCTTTTGTGTGCTTTATATGGGAGGAACTTTGTTATTCTGTTCCTAGTCCTCTGATGTGGGATTTAGGGCTGTCTGAGACAAGCTTTGTGTTTATGTCTTCTGTATTTCCTTCAATGGCTGCTTCAGCACTAGATCCTGTAGTAGTCATGTACACTGAAAAAAAAAGTGCAGTGTAACTTCATAATATCTACCAGGAGTAATAAAACCTTTTGTTGGGGCAAGGGAACCTGTTAGAACAGAGCTGCTGCTGTACTTAAAAGAAGTCTGAAGTACAGCTGTGGCCTTTGATCATTATTGTGTCTTAGTTTGGTTTGGGGGCTTTCACTTCGTAAGGGTGAGTTGTCATGACAGGCTGCAAAAATGAAACTTCTTATTTTTTAAAATACTGACTCTATTGGTAATACAAATTCATGTTAGGGAAGCTTTTTTTACTCTGGAGAACTTTGTGCTGAGCCAATCATTCCTATCAAGCAAGTTTTCTGAGAATGAAATGCAGAAGTCAGAGCTGCCTCTTTATAGGATTGATGCTGGAGTGTTTTTGCTGTAAGAGGAGAAGGGTTTTGCACAGGAGAAAGGAAAATATTGGATGGGATATTATAGTGGTGTTTTAGAAACACTTCCTGACAATGTAGGCTCAGAATTGCATCCAGTCTGTTTGAATTGGGGCTTTGTGGGGTTTTTGTTTTCTCTTGATTTCACAGTTCATTAAATTTTCTGTAAGCAGCAGTGTTCTCTATATCCAACAAACTCCCCTGTAACTTCAAATAAACACCGCTTTAATTATCAGTTACTAAACTGATTTATCTTCATTTAAAAAATCCAGTATAAGTGGCTGACGTCTCCATCTTCCAAGGATGCTTTGAAAACTAGACCAAAGAAAAGAACTATTGTCCTAGGAAGTGGTCGAAAAGGAAAAGCTACTATTCGTATTGGTAATACTGACTTTACTTCTGCTGGCTGTAGTAAATTTTGTCTACAAAATTATATTTTAATGCGTAAGAGCTTTAATTATAAAATACAGGGTGTGTCTAAATGTTAGTGTTTTGCTGAACATTTGTCTCCAAAAGAATTCCATTTATTCTTAATTTAGTATTGTGTCTTCTGTGAGAAACTTACTGGGTTTTGTAGTGCTGCTAGATCTGTGGAAAAATGATAGAATACAATGACTTAAATACGTGGAATGATTGCACATACTTATTCTGAGTGCATCCTCTCCACAAGCTTTCACTGGTGGGAAGCTTGGCATTAGTAAGTTTCCTAGTTCTTCCTATGTTGTAACCTTTCTGTAGCAGGCTGTCCTCTGCCAGAGCAAGGAAGCATGTGTTTTTTACTGATGTACAAAATGTTCTAAGATTCTTTTTTTTAAACTTCATGTAAATGTGTTATAAATAGTATGTTTAAAATGACATAGGTGTCTTGAATATTTATAATAATTAATCACTGATAGTTGTGATACACTAAATATTTTCCAGTAAGCTACTAACATTTCACTGTAATACATTTGGCTGCCTTCCATCTTTGCCCTAGTTATCTGGAAGCACAGAGGTAAGCATAAATCAGATTGAACTCTTTGTTGAAATAAAACTGTGGAGATCAGGGTGGTGGAAGAAGAAAATGCCTGACTCTATAGAGTTGTGGTGGGTTTTTTGTTTGGGGTTTTTTTCCCTTGTTTTGTGGTTTGCTGTGTGTGGGGTTTGTGTGTGTTTTGTTTGTTTTTTTTTAAGAGAGGGAGGGAGTCAAGAGGTGAAAAGTATTCTGTTTGCTTTGTTGAGAAGAAACTGAAGTTTGGGATTCTATTACCGTAGTTACGCATTTCTATACCATTATAAAATCAGTTGTTTTATTGAATTCAGAGATACAGTAACCTAAGTTCTCACTAGTTTAACTGTATAAAATATTAGGTGAACAGTTTTCTGGACTTGTTAGTTTTTGACTTACAGAGAACCTGAGGTAGAGTGATCATCCATCCACACTCTAGGTGTCTATTCTGAATCTGCTTTGATAGTATATGACTTAAACAACAGCAAAAGACTGGACTAGTGAACATGACTTTTTACTATTAGTCCTCTTAAGTGAAGAGATTGCCAGCGTTCTGTACAGGTGATCTGCATGAGTACCAGCTTTATTTTTAAACATTTTGCCCACAGATAAACCAACGTTCTTCACACTAAAGCCACTAGAGGTCAGTTTGAAGCACATAGATAGCTTTATTTTCTATGTGGACTGTCTAAAGCTCCAACGTGAGACAGTGGAATTAGGTATCTGAAATTAGTAATGTGAACAAACCTCTTCAGCTTCAAAATTTTAATTCCTTTTGTTGAGTAACAGCTTGTCTTACTTGCATCAGCGTGACATAGCAGTTAAGTATACTAGCTTATAATTGCAAGCAGATAAACTGTCCACCCTTCTTTTAGAGGAGCAAAAGAAAAGTTTTTGGACACTTCAACAAAATTAGATTGAAAGACAGATTTCCTACAAGTCCCTATTAGTACATAGGAGATATTACTTATGAACAGTAAGTTGTGAAATGATTAGGTATAATGAATTCTGTTTTCTTCTGCTGATCAATACAGGATTATCATCTAAAAAATCCATAAGTCCTGGGAAAAAAAATACATCTGTGAAAGATAGTTACTCACCAAAACCACTACCACCAGGCACGAAAGGCTTCCTTCCTTGGCGCACAGCAGAGCGAGCGAAGAGAGTCAGGTGAGGTTTTCTTAGTACAAGGGAAAATACTAGAGCACAAAACCTGCATGATAAATACAGTGAAGAACAGTGTTAGTTTTTTTTAATATATGATGTGAGAGTTAGACACAGAATTTCATATTGCATCCATATTTTTTTATGTTTATATAAACGTTGTGGATTTTACATAAACTCTATTCTAGTAAATATTTAAAATACACAAAAATATATGATGGCCATAGGAATAGTTAGATGTAGCAAAAAAACCCTACCACAACAATACCTACCTTGCCTGCTTGTTCTTTTGTTAATAATGATTTAGCAGATGTATCATAGATGAAAATGTTAGTTTTCTAAGTTTACAGTATAGTTGACATAGCATACAGTTCAAGGTGCCTAGGTATTTTTCCACCTCTTGTTTCTGCTCCATCTCCCCCTGTAGCAGTATAATTATTGTGATCATCTAAGCCTTTTGAATGGAAAATAAAACTAAAAAAAGTCACACTTGAAACAGTTTTTGTTTGTATTATTTTTTTAAACATATTCCCTAGACCTTAGCCTCTCAAAATGGACGCTACGTAACTATTAAAAGAAAAAAATACTTAACGGTCTATCATAACTATAGTTATTAAACTTGTTTTTCAAAATGCTGAGCACCGAATTCTCCTGTTGACTTTAGTTCAAAATAATTAACTAAGCAAGATGCCTATTGAAGGTATGTTAGCATCCAGTAATGTTGCTCTAAATCATGATTAAGTAGGGGGTGCTAACAGAACAAAATGAGGATGAATGAGGGTTAAAGAGATAGAGTGCAGTGTCCGATGCTGGTTTTACTCTTACTGCTTCACTTGTCCTAGAATCCTGTGTTTGGAAGTGGGTGTAGCAATGGTGGCATTATAAAGTTACTTTTCTCAAAAGTGTGTTGTTTTTTTTCGAACTTTAGAGGGGGGGCAGTGGATCGTGCTGGAGAATTGCCAGTGAAGATTCAGGTACTGTTTCTCTTATTATATAGTGGTTTCTTTAGTAGACCAATGTCTGAAAAAAAAGATTAAAGTGTTCTCAACAGAATCTTTTTGTCTAAATGTTAAGCCTGGAACATGATTTTAAAGATTCTTTCTTATAGAAGGCCAAAAAGTTAGTTTGCATCAGCATTTGGTTGGAACTTCTTTGATGCTTTTTGTCTCTGTATGTCTTGGTTTCCTCGTCCTATGAGCAAGCTGGGTTGGAGTATGGGCACAATCCCCCCAGAGGCAATAAAGAGGACTAATAGCATTTTTCTCTGAAGGGTCCTGCAAACCATCTATTCTCTCTTGGATTTGGATTACATACTTGTGTTTGCACTGGTCTGTGAACCTCTCTACTAAACATACCAGCAGAGAACAATCTGCTCTTTCTTCTTTGCATCTCATTTCTGTCTTTCCTCCTGTCCCACCCTCCAGAGAACAGCTGGAGAAGTGGTTTTGTATACTAATAAAGTGGCTAAAAACTAGCTCACAGAAGGGTCTGATGCCTGCTGAAGCCAGTGCACTCATCCCCTGCTCTGGCATAGGCTCCCCATGGACTACAGTCTTTTGGGAAAATCAGCTTTGGCCACAGATCCTTCGGTCCAGCCCTCTGCTCTGGCATGTGTCTTTCCTGGCTGGAGTGAGGATATTGGCTTCACCATGGAGCACCTCCTCCTGCTCCCAGCCTGGTGTTTCCTCTCCTCTTTCTCACTGTTATTGTTCCCAACTGTTCTGCCTGTCTGGCATTTTTTGCTCTTTGTTAATCTGACTCTCTCCGAGGCACCACCAGGTTGGCAGCTCCACTTTGTGCGTTGCAGGGGCTGCCCCTGCTGCTGAATCCTCGCCACATACACCCAACATATGCATACGTAGGATTGATTTTTTTGATACTGTTCTATGCAAATTTATTTAAAAATTGCGTAGCTGGACAGTGTGTATACATTGTAGGGGTCTGTAGGAAATGACTGCATTTAAATTAAGCTTTTCTTACTGTTTAATCTTCAAATTTTGCTGTGCACTGTAATGCTCTGAGTGGGTGTGTTTTTGTTTTCTGATGTAATTAGACAAGTGTTCCTGTGAAAGTGACATTAGAAAGTGCCTCTTCATCTGAAACTGAAGGCACAGAAGATTTGGATGATATCCACCATCCTGTTTTGGCAAAATCATTAGATAAGATTAGTGTAACGCAGTATCAACAGTTGCAGGTAAGAAGCATGTTTTGTGCCTTCGACACCATAAAGGCAAAGTTTGTTAATTAAACCCTGTTTTATTCAGAAAATTGTAGTTAAGCAAATAACCACTCAAGGAGCAGGATTTTGGAATAACTCTTAATTATCCTGCTTTATGTCACAAAGGGTTTTGTTTCAAAAGATATATGTCAAATAAGCAGTGGATATCCAATCTCTTAATATTCTAATAAAGACATGTGTGCTATAAGAATATTGTCAAATCAGTGCCATAACAAGGAAATAGCTTCACTTAATGCACACAACTGCACTATGTGTAATTTCTCTGTTCCAGTCTTGAATCACGGTTCACAAATTTTTGATCAGTCTTATTATCTGTAATATTTTCTTCCAATCATTTCCTTTATTAAAGTAATTTAATCTTATTTCTAAGAGCTAAAATATTGTAATGATTGTTGTGTAAAAATAAGTACAAAAATAACTGAAAGTGTATTAGAGCTCCATTTTATAATTGAGCTTAGTAACGAACTTCTTTTGGGGTTTTTTTTGTTACTCCCTCTACTCTGATAGTTGTAAAAAATTAATAGTGAAGCTGACTGTTTCTGCTAATGTCTTGACTGGGAAAGTTCTTACTAAAGTAAAGGGAAAAAAGGTGTATTTCAGTGGCTCAGTAATGCTGCTGAGGCAATCTAGCACTATTATAAAGTAACACCCTCAGGCAGAATTTCTGAAGCGTTAGGATTTGAATTCTGTTTGGAGAATCTGAACTGCCTCCAAATGAGTACTAATAAAAATAAAACCTCTAGTCTGTCTGGTTTTGGTGGTGGTTGTCAGTGTGCCACACTGGGAGAATTTACTGTTTGTGTGTGTAGATATTAAAACTGTATAGCTGTCTTTATGTGAGTGGAGTGAAGTTAAGTTATAACTTGTTGCAGGTCTGTAGGTAGTTGGAGTGTTTAGGGTGATTTAGAGTTGTGGAAAGCAAAAGGGCTCTACAAATACTGCCTGAATAACTAGCTACTGCCTTCTTTTTTTCAGCTGATGTACCTTTTCTTTAGACATACCTTTTTGTCTCTAGAACTTTTTGCTCAGGAAGATGTCAAGGTTTTCACGTTGCTGGTACTTTAAGTTGTATAGCGCCTCTCTTTGGGGATGATTTCATATCACTGTTCATGTACAAGATGTTGACATTGTGCTATGTGGTCGCCTTAGCACTCATCAGAAGCATTGTGTCCGGAATCATAGAACTCCATGTCATGTGCATGTCCAGAAACTTCTATGCAGGATGTACTATGCTTTCAGGAAACACTTGGTGTATTTATTCTTGGTGTTTGAAGAGGAAGTATTATTATTTTCAGGACATATTGCAGATGCAGACAGTGTTCTGTGCTTCGGGGAAGAGTCGTCATATTGACCTGTGATGTCAGTGTTACCTGTAGTAGTACATGTAGAGCAACTGTAAGGAAGGGATAATTTGTGATTAATATGAGCTTCCTGGAGGGTAAACCCACAAATGTTAGCAGCCTACCCCAAAATTGGTTTTAAATTTACTGTACTTGTAAAGGTCCAGATTTTTCTGATTTTCTGAACTTGAAAACCCAAATGCTTTTTTAGGCCATGATTGCATATCAAATAGCACAGTTTGAGCAGTCTCCAGCTGTTTCTATGCCTCATCTGTCCTTTTTGTTCCCTTGACACAAAGCAGGTTTTACATTATGGCAGTACCAAACTATCAACTTGTCACCATTGAACTATGATAGCTATTTCCCCTTGTCCCATAGTGCTTTTTCACTTCTTGCTTCAGTCTCTTTGCCTCATGTCTTTATTCATGTTTGTCTGATCATAAGACAAGTTGATTCAACATGCCAACATGGAGAAAACTCATGTAGTTAAACAAGAAGTGTTTAAAGTGCACCGTCCTGCACCAGGGGATGAACAACCCCAAGCACCAATATCTGCTGAGGGCAGACCATCTGGAATGCAGCGCTGCAGAAAATGCCTTGAGGGTCCTGGTGGACACTAAGTTGAACATGAGCCAGCAATGTAGCCTTAGAGCAAAGGAGGTGCATGTTGGACTACATTAGGAAGAATTTTACCAGTAGGCTGAGGGAAGTGATCCTTCCTTTGCTGGGGAGGCCTCATGTGTGAAGTACTGTGTCCAACTCTGGACTCCCCAGTACAAGTCAAACATGGGCACCCTGGAGAGAGCTCAACAAAGAGCCACAAGGATGGTTAAGGAACTGGAGCATCTCTCCTCTGAGGAAAAGCTGAGAGAACTAGGTTTGTCCAGTCTGGAGGAGAGAAGGCTCAGGGAGGGATCTTACCAATTTATATAAATACCCAAAGGGAGGGTGCAAATAGGGTGGAGCCCATCTCTTTTCCAGTGACAGGGTAAGAGGTGGTGGGCAGAAGCTGAAACACAGGAGGCTCATTCTGAACATCAGGAAGCACTTTTTCACTGTGAGGATGACTGAACACTGGCACAGGTTGCCCAGAGCAGTTGTGGCATCTCCCTCCTGAAGAGATATTACAAAAGCATCTAGATGTGAACCTGGACAGCTTGTTGTAGGTGGCCCTGCTTGAGCAGAGGGTTGTACCAGGGAACTGCCAAAGATCCCTTCCACCCCAAGCCAGTCTGTGATTCGTTGGTAGTTTTCCAGATTAGTGTTCAGCTATCTTAGTGATTCATGTTGGTTTATGTGATTGGGTGTGTTTCAGAAGTGGAGTATGGTAAGTGGCAGAAGTCTGTGGCTGATAATGTGAGAGAGGAAGTGGAGGACCCTTTTTATCTGCATTAATTTGGCTTAGGTAATGTCCTTAACCAGCTCTTACTGCAGAGCAGCTTGAGGAGGGGAGCTGCCTTGAGGAACCAGTCTAACTGAAAAGTAATCCAGTGTATTTGGTGGTAGCAGTCCTTTCAGTAAAGTGGGACAACCAGCTGTGCTAGAACAATGATGGGAATGCAGCGTGGGAACTCCTTAAACTGCTGCTGTGCCAAAAAACTCTCCAAACACTCCTTGATGTGACTAAATGACCAGACTTTCACTTTACTTGAGAACTTCTCTGCATTGTTCTGCTTAAAAAGGGCCTTTAAGCATACTGCTTAGTGGAACAAGTAGTACTTATGTTTTCTTTAAATAAAAAAACCCTTGGCTACTGAAAAGCTTAATTTCTGCTTAAATGGAAAATAAGAACTGATAAGTATTCTTTCCTTCCACTAGAGGGAATCAAATGTCAGAATGGCTTCTGATGAAGGATGTGATTGAGGAAACTCCATATTTTTAAATTTTAACTAAGGCTTTAAATGGTGAACTTCACCCTTACTCAAGTTAACAGGGCAATTACAAAGAAGTAGAGATTGCACTATAACTATTTTCTTTTAAAATAAGAACAACAATGTAATCAAGTAGAAAAACAGGGCTCATTAGTTACTGAAGTTTTTTAAATGTAAGTTTTTAAACTTCGTTTGTATACCTCTGCCTACTGGTGAGTAGTCATACTGCAGACAGTAATTCTGAGGCCTACATATATTTTGGGTATTCAATTTCATCTTAAAGGCTCTCAGTGATGTCTTTCTAGGCTATATTTTTGAAGACTTAGTCTTGTAGCCTAGATGTACATTTAGGTTTCTGATGTATTTTAATGATTTTAATTCTGCACGAAGACAAAGAGATTGTGTCAGCTAGTGAATTTCTTAAAGAATAAAGCGAACATATACTTGTAATTCTGGGGTGGCAAATAGGTTCACACGGGTGCAAGGCATCTTCCTTTAAATGCCAGCTTTCATACTGCTTATGATGAGATGTAACTGCAGTGTTTGTCAGGTTTTTTGTGAAGTCAGTCCATAACCGTCATATATTATGTACATCTACAGTGTGATAAATCAAACTTCCACGTTCCTGGCTGAACAGGGAAACTTTGCAGGAAATTATGAAAAAAAAAAAAGAGAGTTTACCAACTCTGGAAAAAAAGGGCAGGCTACCCAATAAGAGTTCAAGAATTTAGTCACGTCACATAGGAAGAAAATTAGAGAGACAAAGGCACAATTTGAATTAAATCTGGCCACTTCTGTCAGGGATAATTTAATTTAGTGTTATCTGTGGCAATATTACAAATCTGTTGAGTGAATCACACGTATTTCTACTTTCCTGTCTTAATTTTGTGCATCCCAGAGTTATGTACTGGTAGACCCCCATCATATATTTTTGTAGAAGATATGTTACTGTTTGGAATGCCATGTGTTAGTTGTTAATTAGATATGTTGAGTTTTTCTATAATACTGCATGCTGATCTGACATTATGAGATAAATTTCATGATAGTTTATCTGTGTTTTGATAGTTGAAACTGGAAGAATGCATGGAAAAATTAAAGGAAGAACAAAGAGCTAGAGTAAAGGCTGAAGAGCGGATAATGGAGGTAAAGATACTTAACTGTTAGTCATCTTCACTTTTAAAGGAAGCACCAATTAAAATTCCCACTTGCTTAATTAGGAGTAATCATCAATGACCACTAATGTGGTACTTTCCAGAGTTTCAGTTCAAAGTCACGTGGATCATTTACTAGTCTAAGGGAAATGATGAAATCTGTGTTTAGTAATGCGTGTGTGTTCTCGTGTGATCCTATTCCAGAGCCTTGAACTCCAGATCAAGTTACTCTTTCAATGTGTTTTAATCTTTTGGTGTATTACTGATGATCTGAGGCATCCTGATCCTTGTTTTTCTCAAGAAAGTGATTAAATCTGTTTGCAGTTGGCACACATGGATAGTTGTTTGAGATCTTCCAACTCATTAATCATGACTTGTGCTGAAAAGCTGTTTGTTGCAAATGTTATTTAGTTTGGCTTATTCTGTACCTTTGATTTCTGCAGGCAGTAACAATGCTGGATGGTTTTCTGCATGTCAGTTGTAGCTTTGGCAAAACTGAAATAACTACTTACCACCATTAACTTGTGAAGCCTATTTTCCCTCTGCCTTTTGTTGCTGACCTTAAAATACTCTTTTGCTCCAATAAGCAAAATTTCTTCTAATAGAGTTGAGTGTAAGATAGTATAAACAAATGGATTTGATTCTTAGATGTGATCTGAAAAGAGTGAAAATGGTGATACCCTTTGGCATTTGGCCAACAAATGGTATCCCACAGTACAGGGGTCAGATATCCACAAAGGATTCTGCACTCTACAGTGTTTGCTGTAGGCCTCTCATCTGCATTCTCCTGTAATGTGATGTGCACCAGTGGGCTCTGCTCTGTATCTGTTGTCTGAATACTTAAATACTTTTTAAGGTTAAACACCCCTTGCAAGAAATCTTTCTCTGTTGTGCTAGACTGCTTGGACCTAGCACCTTGTTTGGGGAAAAAGGATAAAGTAAGTAGTAGTAGTCTCTAAAAGTTTTTATTTGGATGCTTATTTAACATCTACCATGCGCTACACAGTCTATAAATTTTTTGTCCTCCCATAAAAATTAAAAGGAGGAAAGTCTGTGCTAGCACTGATTGCATAGCTCTAATCTTAAATGAGTGTCTGAGTTAATGCTTCCCACAAAGACAAAACCTTGTACCTCTTGCAGTTATTCAACTTTCATTTTGTCATCAATTTGATTAATGTTCAATGTGGAGAAAAAGTGCTGGGAGAGATAACAGTAGTATGCATTCCCTCTGATGCAGAGGGGTGAATATAAAGGGTTTCTTATAGTAAAATAAGTCATTTGATGCTAATGTGTCATAAAATACATGCAAAATAACATATGAAAGCTAATTTTTTTTCTGCTTATACTTGCTCTGTAGCATTCTGTACATGCTGAAGAGTGTGCTGAGCCAGCAGGTTTGAGTGCCTGCAGCAATATCACTATGGTAGCATAGAACTGCAGCTGTGGATAAACAGACCTGCACAGAGCTCAGTGTAACAGGGCTCTGAGTATGTCTGGTACAGAAAACTCTGTATCTGTTATATCAGTGTCTTTGGATATTCCTCTTCATGATGCTTCTCTTTAGGCTCGCAAAGGTGAGGTTTGATATTTTGGGATTTTTTTAAACTGAAAATGAAAGAAATTACCTTTTTTTTTTCCTCCCTCCTAGCTGGAAATTGAAAATGCAAGATTAAGGAATATAAATATCTCCCAATCAGAGGTTCTTCATGCACAGTCAGTAACCAGCATGATTTTGGAAGATGAAGGTGTTCTAGGCAGCATTGAGAACTCTTTCCAAAAGTTTCATGCTTTTTTAGACCTCCTTAAAGATGCTGGGTAGGTTGTCAGTTCACTTAAGTCTTGCTGTTTCTGCTGAGATCTTTTTCCTAAATTATCCTCACAATGAAGTCTGCTGTTTTCTACCCACCAGGTCTCTAGGGACTGTGCTTGCAAAGAGCAGAGTTAAAAATTAGCCATGTACCCATTGTTTAGTCTTATCCTAGTGGGAAAAAGATGATCCAAGCACTGTCCAGATGAATTTGTTTATCTGTTCTTAGGAAAGCCTTTCAAGAAGCACATTCCAAAAGAGTAGAAAGCTTCTATTAAAGAATGCTTCCAAGTCTTCATTGAATCACCTGTGGCTTTTAGCATTGACATGATATGAAAGTCCAAAATGAAGCTGAATTGGCTTCAGAAAGTGTCCTGTTGCCTTGGGCCCCCCATTTATTACTTGAAGTAGAGAGATCCAGATGGATGAATCTGGCCTCTCTATTTAAATTTGGGATTATTTTTTATTACTGGAATTATTTTTAGAGAGTATTGATTAAAGTTTTTACTAAGGATCTACCAGTGTACCTGCAGTTTCTCAGAGGCTTTCCATTTGTCAAAAATTTAAGCTTAAACCTGATTTGTAAACCTTTATGTAGCCAGGCATGGCAATCTCATTCCCGAGAATGAGGGAATGATATGAACATATGTTATTGTCTACTCCATGTGTTCAGAGAAGATAACAAAAGATTTTATTTGCCCTCACTGCTTCCCACTGCCAAATTGTAATGATGTAATTCAGGACAAGTGGCAATGGCCTCAAGTTGTGCCAGGTGTGGTTTAGACTGGATATTAGAAAAATTTTCTTCACTGCAATGGTGGTGAGACATTGGAACGGGCTGCCTAGGGAAGTGGTGGAATTACCACCCCTGGAATTGTTAAAAAAATATCTAATGTGGTGCATAGTGGACATAGTTTAGTGGTGGATCTGGCAGATTAATGCCTGGGCTTGATGGTCTTAAGAGATCTTTTTCAATCTTAATGATTCTATGATTTGAACTTAATGTAAATTTTGCACTGAGTCTGTGACAATCAGCTGGTAGAACTGCCATTACTTCAAGAACTAATTTCAAACTTTTGAGGATTTTAACTGCATGGAAAATAATTTTTTTCATATGGGGCCTATGTCTGCTCATGATAATATGTAGCTGCTCTGAAAGTTACAGAATCATGATCACAAAGAATGCTCTTCTCAATAAAGTTCTGTATACCGTATGCTGTGCTATCAGCTGATGGCTGAAACTTCTCACTTCTTTTTGAGGCTTAAAACACCCAAGTGGCTGGTTTGGCTGACTTGTAGGCTGGCAGATAACACAACATCGCTGTATTTGTGAAGCATGTCATTAGCGTGTTAGAGATCATGCTAGTTTGGAGGTGTGCATAATTCTTCTGCTTGAGTGACAGTTTTAATCTTTGTTCTATCTGACATGGAAGCTGCTTACCAGCATCCTGCTCAGAGTTCAGTGTGAACTGGGAGAAGTTCATTCTCAGCAGTTGAGTTTTGAACATGCAGGCTAATTTGTGCAAAAGTAAGACAATGCCTTTAGCTACTTGTTTTTACTTTGGTTAAGATATTTTGGGCTTCTCATCAAATAATGAAAATGATCTTCAAAGCTTCAAACAGATTCTTCTTCTTCTGGTTTTAAATCTTTAGTTCTTTCAAAGGATAAGAATTGTTTGTGTCTTTGTCTATTAAACTTATATTTTACAGACTTGGACAACTTGCTGTACTAGCTGGCATAGACCAGTCAGATTTTGGTCTTTGGGGGCATGCACAAATGAGTTCTATTCTTGGTAAACCTGCTAACACAGTGAAGGAGAAGTCTTCGGAAGAAGAAAGACAGGAACATATCCAGAATAACAAAGTAAGTGTATAGAGGGCATGTGTGAAGCAATTTTACTTGATATTATTTAAAGTACTTTTTAGCTGTTATCCCTCTGTGATTCATGAAGTTATTACTGCAATCTTTTGCTGTGGCTGCATTTATACAGATAATAATAATAATTCAATGATTAATGTAAGCTTTTACCATTTGGAACAGAAACCATTGTATTTTGCAATGTATTTAAGAAAGTATTGGTTGTAATTATGTTGTTTCTTACTCTGAAATAAGAAGTTCCAATAGTGGTATGCATCCATTAAAAATGGAAAATAAAAATAACTAGTTTTTTTTTAAACATTCAGGAGTGACATATAGTGGTTTTATAAACCAAGTCTGATAGTAGAGGCTAGTACAATGTGCCTGCTGAAAATCCCAAATTAACTTTCAGGCGTATATGTCCAGCCCTGAAAGTTGTCTGGGCTGTAACATAAATTTCAGGCAACTATGAATTTGCAGTATTTGTAAATATTGCATAAGATTTTAGTTTCTACTCTGAAGTTAATAAATAGGAAAGCTTTTGGATTTTTCAAAGGAGATATTAAAGTTCCTGTAAGAAAAGATAAAAAATGACCCATCTTAAGTTTTTAAGGCTGTTAAGAGTTATTATATTGGCAGCCTACAGCCTTGTCCAAGAGGAATAAAACTGTCATGCCTAAGAATCTCTTCGCATTCCAGTCTGCTCCTTTCAGTGTTCCAGATTCCTCAAGAACACTATGAAGTAAAACAGTAAAACGTGTTGGGTTTTTTTAACAGTGTGGAAAGCAATTTCCAGTTTTCCTGTTTGAGACTCTTGTTCTTATCTGCTGGTATTGGTGGTTAGTTTGGATTCTTGTAGCATTAGGTATTGTGGGATACACTACTGTGACTACACCGCTTTGAGCTGTGAGCAAATGTAATGAGTTGCAAGTATTTTGGAATGATAGACATGATTAAGTTTTGGCTGCTTCCATGTCACTGGCAGGTTTCTGTAGTATAAATTTAAAGCTACATGTAAAACTGTAATATGCCTACTCTGTCATTATCACCCTAGCAATCTTCTGAAACTTGCTTGTTTTGACAAGTGGTAAAATCAGTGCAATTGCTATATTGTGTATTTTATTTTGCTATGCAGACTTCAGTATATATGGTAGTTGCGATACTGATTTTTCTTTTCTCTAGTTGCATCAGTATCTTCATTGAGATTTCTTGTTTCAGAACAGAGCTGGGGATGTGCAAGTTTCTCTTCCTGGCACGTTTCAATCCCAGATGGTTGTAAATAATGCCTTCTCTGCACTTAGAGAAATACAAGAACTTCAGACTGCTGGACAGCAGTACCAGTCAGGCTCATGGAGGGAAAATGAAGCTCAAACAATTGACCAAAATAAAGAGGATAAGCCTCAATGTAGTACCCCAATATCCTCTGAGAGAAGAGTCAAACAAAATGAAAAAGCTAAAGGACATCACTCAGCAAAGCAGTTGAATTCATTTTCTGAATCCAGTCTGAATTCATTTTCTGAATCCAGTATACATGTTAAAAGTAATGATAGCAGAATATCCAGTGGTATTTCTGGTGAAAAAAGCAAAAATTCTTCTTCTAAGAAATATCTCTCTAGAGTAAATGAAATGGCGGCTCC